TCTGACCCAAAGTTCATGGGATATTCTGCTAACAGACAGACGAACAAACATGGGCTATTTGTTAATTAGATTACCTTCCCTTCATAGTGGCAGGCCATAATTATAGCTATATTTCCAATTTGACACTTCTTAAATAAATTTATTGTTGTCAATGATGCATTACAAAAAATGGTTCTAGGAATGAGGTCATGTCTGGGTCTGTGTTTTTTACTTTAATCTCAGCAGTTTCATTCACTGAATACTGAGTCAGCAATCAAACCACTGCTATTCTGCTTTTTTTCCCATATGTTTTTTGTAATCGAACTATTACAGCGTACTTTGAATTACTTCATCTATTCATACATCAAAAATTTTCAGCTCTTTCTGGACAGGGGAGTTTTTTATATATATATATATATGTTCTTTATTGAGGAAAATGCAGTTTGTTTAGTTGCAGAAACCCCTGCAGGCTCAGACTGAACTGTAGACCAGGAGGTTGGGTCTCAATACATCATTTGGTCATTGCTAACAGTGTCATTTCAAACATCAGTTAAAGACATCAGGCTCAGTTTTAAAAAAAAAAGTAGTGTGGAGTAGTTTTTTTTTCCACCTTGCCTGTGAAATGAGAGGCTGAATCATCATTAGCAGACTAACAGCGTTCWAAGTCCTGAGAGCATTGAGGGCTTTGTTGAGCTAAGCTCTCACCAGATTGTGTTTTCTTTCTTCCCATTCCAGTGACTCTGCTCTCTCTCTTGTTCCTCGCTTTATTAAGCCAAGAGCCGTGATAGTACAATGATCTGCTGTGATGGGTACAGAAGAAGATGGCCTCAGAAGTATTGATTACATATCTAATTAAGACCTAGTAGTTCTTTATGTTGGGGTTTTAACTAATTTTATCTTAATAAATTATGGAGTTATAATGGTTTTGATCAAACATAGAGTAAAATCTTATGCATGATCTTGAATGTTGGCTCTCATGTCGTAAAACTATCAGTTACTCTCAGCTACTGCACCAAATTTAGTTTTGTATTTGTAAAACTGGCTGTGTTTTAGACGGTTATATTATTTCTGAAATCAGCTGGCTGTGGAGGTCATTTTGAGTTGAGTTGACTCCAAAATTGTGTCAGTTGTAGACGTACATCTTATGACTACTGTCTGAAAGTTTCATTAAAATCCGCCGTGCTCATGGAATCTTTTGCTTACAGCCAGCCACACACAGACACTGTTTTTCGGAGCATTACCACCTAACTTCTGCTCCAATAAAAGTGGCCGCAATGAATTTTGCTTTTATTTTTAATTTAAAGTACACTTAGATTTGTGTAATTTGTTTATTTATTTTGTAAAATGCCTGAAACTTTGATTAACAACAAAGTATGTCTTTTTTTAATAGTTTGGTTATAAAATCTCAAAAGTGAGCTCTTTCCTTTGCTCAGGAATTGTCTTTATGTTTCATTGATTTAGACTCCCCATGCACACATACACAGAAACAGTGAAAGGTTCCAGAGGAAACGGACTGCTGAGCGTCTGACTGCAATGCCTGCTCAGGTCTGAGGCTGCCGATCATCTCTGCTGGGACTGGAAGTTGCTGACCTACATCTGCTGACAGTTCCAAATCCCAAATCCTCACTGTGAGCCGTCCAAACTCTCGCCTGCTCAAGTGATGACTCTCTCCTGACTTGTTAACTGCCACATAGAAAAAGTACATTTTTCTCTCCGCTGTGCTTCTGCTGCGACATCCAGGATCCACGCTGCCCGACTTCCACCGCCTGGAGTACACCCGAGACCATTGTCTCAAAGAACAAAAGGACTGTGGACTGAATCTGTCGTCCTGTTTGTGATCACAGATACATGACCCTGCTGCAGCCAGGAGCTTCACATAACAAATGATAGGCTTCCTCCGGATTTTACTTTGGGTTACATCTATCACCTTTTCTTCCCTTGAGCGCTGAGGATGAGACCTGTGCACGCCACAGATGCTATTTCTTTTTAAATTCTGTTTGGCCCTGTGTTCTAATCTGATGGAAAGAGAATAAATATGTTTTAAATGAGAGCAAACCTAATAAAGGAGTAGATAACTTGAATGTTTGTCAACACTGCTGGCAAATTTCCCCTAAAACTAGCCTTGCTAAAATATTCAGTGCCAAATTGATAATGGGTTCATAAAAAATGGTTTTGCTGCTTTTCCTTTTGCTGGATTTGAATATCCTTTTTTATATCTGCCCCACAACCTCTGTACTTCCAATTTTTCCTCCAAAGACATGAAAGAAAACGGGTGAGAAATAAAATAATCCACCTGGTTTATATTAACCTTTCTCTCCCTCAACTCAGCCTACGCCAAACCACGCACAGACACACACACACACACACACACACACACACACACAC